TCCCACCCATCCTTCCCAGTCTCTTTCCCTTTGGTAATAGTCCATTCTTGGGTTCTGTGATTCTGCTGCTGTTTTGTTCCTTCAGTTTTTTCTTTGTTCTTATACTCCATATATGAGTGAAATCATTTGGTACTTGTCTTTCTCCACCTGGCTTATTTCACTGAGCATAATACCCTCTAGCTCCATCCATGTTGTTGCAAATGGTAGGATTTGTTTTCTTCTTATGGCTGAGTAATATTCCATTGTGTATATGTACCACAGCTTCTTTATCCATTCATCTACTGATGGACATTTAGGTTGCTTCCATTTCTTGGCTATTGTAAATACTGCTGTGATAAACAAGGGGTGCATCTGTCTTTTTCAAACTGAGCTGCTGTATTCTTAGGGTAGAACTATAATTTTTAAAAATAGTTTCCATAACATTTCACATGCCATAATTTATTTACCATTTCCTAGTTATTTTATTTTTAGATTATTTTTTATTTTAACTATTATAATGTAAGTATATAAATCTGAACACCCTAGAAATGGACTTTCTGAGTTAGTGGGTATGAACAACATTAAAGCTTTTAAATGATACTGCTAAAATAGTTAACAGAAAGTTTAATCAGTGTATGAAAATAATTTTTCACAGGCAGCATATGAAAATAATTTTTAGTGCATTAAAAATTTTTCACTTTAATTATCTGTACTTATTTCTTTTAATTTTTGCTTTACATGTTTTACAGGCTTTATCATTAAGTGCATTCTATCATTTAGAATTGTTATGTCCATCTAGTGGATTGAAACATTTATTATTATGAAATGTCTATCTCTAAAAATTTATCTTTACTTAAAGTCTACCTTGTCATATTTGTACACTAGTCTCTTTTGATTAGTGTATGTCTTTTATATCTCTGCACATACTTTTACTTTCTATCTTTCTGTGTCATTATGTTTTAAATGTCTGTCTTATAAGCAGCATATAAAAAAGAGAGATGTAGAAAAAAGGGAGAAAATATAAAGAAATAAAAAAGAAAAAGAAAGAGGAAGGGGAGAGATCAAATAATTAATATTAGCTTTGACTTAAAGGCCTTCCATTGTCAAGGCTATGCCTCTAGACTCTATTTGCATTCTTTTTCTGAGAGAGAAATAAAGGAAAAGAAGGCAAGGAACTTAAGGGAAATAGGGAGAACAGAGAGACCAGATAGCTGAAGGAGCAGGGGAGTTAAAATCTCTGTAACACAGGTGTTGATTCTCTAATTGTACTCTAATGTGAATCTTTACATGTCTTTCTCTCTAACAATTTTAGTTTAATGATGAAAAGAAATTGATGAACTTTCATCAGAATCTTCAGGATATCACAGAAGATCAACTCAGTCTGGCCTCAATCCACTATATGCGATCCCACTATCAAGAAGCAATTGATATTTATAAGAGAATACTGCTAGATAACAGGTCTGTGTGCTTTTATGCCTACTTGAAATCTCATTTAGTTAGTTTCTTCTGTAACTAGTTTGACTGAGGATCTAGTGTCCTTTCAAACTAGTATCACCATGTGTTCAAATCTCTTTAGCTAGTAATCTGGTGAGATAAAGCACTCCTTATTATCTAGATCAGGGTTTCTCAACCTTTATTTCATTAACACCCTTCCAAAGAGCCTTTTTAGATATTTTCCCCTTAATTGCCCTCTCATGAAATTTTAATGCCATAGATATATACTGTATAACCACTTATGTACTATAAGTATATCTATGCTTTGAGTATAGAAATGAGTACAGTTTTCCACCTCCCTATATGAACTAATTTTCGCCTCTTGGGGTTGATATTATTCCTGCTGAAAGTGTATGATTTTGATGTGTCAATTTCAGTGTTATGGTTACATTATATGTAAACTTGCTGACAAAATTAGAAACCAACCATTCTGAAGAATTAACATTCCAACTTTGTCACTGACCACTTGGCCTTTCTACTGCATCCCAAAATATCTCATCCACTTTCTTTTTCCCCTCTTTTGCTTTACATTCACAGTCTTCCACTCATTTCCATTTTTAGTTATCAAATCTACTCGCTTTATTTGTCTATCCTCTGTATGGTGTGTGCTTCTATTTATAGTTAATTATGGCATCCATTAGTTTAGTTTTTTTTTTTAACATGAACAGGAAGTAAACTTTTCCCCTTCTCTTCTAGTTGTCATCTTTTACTCACTTTTTTCAAAACACTCAAATATTATAATACAAAAAAATATTGCACTGATTATATCTTGCCTTCTTTCTTCAAAAGGTAAATTCATGTCCTCTTTGTATTGCTCTCCATTTGAGCCATTTAAAGTGTCTTTGTAGTCTAACAACATTTCTGTTAAGCACTCTTAAACTGTTAACCCTTAATTCTTTTGTCTAATAGGGAATACCTTGCCCTCAATGTGTATGTGGCCCTATGTTACTACAAGTTGGATTACTATGATGTGTCTCAAGAAGTTCTGGCTGCTTACCTTCAGCAAATTCCTGATAGTACCATCGCACTCAATCTTAAGGCTTGTAACCATTTTCGTCTTTACAATGGCAAAGCAGCTGAGGTAGTGATGGAAATTTCTTTTTAATTTACTTAATTTCAGTTTGAATTGCCCTATACTTCCAGGGTTATTCATGAAACTCTATTATCTGTAACTCTTTATTGCCAGTGTGATTCTCTAAGAACCTATTTGTATAAATATTTATATTTATCAAATATTCTAAAAAGAATGTTGACCTGTGAATTCTCTGTGTATGTCTAATATGATTGTAGATGATCATTATTTAGATGCTTTACATTAACTTAAATATGTTAAAACCAACCACTTCCACTTTTTCATCTACAATGTTTATGACTCTGGTTTAATGTTGCCAACATGTAAATCTCATCAGAAATCTAGGAAATCTATCACTCTCTTATTTTTTACCCCACTTCTCACCATCTGTCAGTTCTGTGTCCGAGATATCTCTTGTATCTATCTCCTCTTCTCCGTTGCCCCTGATCTAGGCCAGGTGCTATCTCTTATTTCAGTTCTTTAAATTAATTTCTGTGCCCCCAGTCTTGTCCTCTCCAGTCTGGCCATTGAGTTTGTTTCATACTGCGCTTTCCTACCATCACTTTGCATACAACATATTCATTTACTGGAATGACTTTCTCTGCTTGGTACTCTGCAATCTCTCCTCTAAGGTTACCTCACAAGGCAATAGTGTTAAACGTATTATGAATACTTAGAAATTGGCTAACTCATAGACATCATGCAGAACACTTTATATCCATTATTTAGTCTCCCTCACTTGTAGATAAATTCTGTTAAAGGAAACTTTGTAAGAAACTGAGAGTGCAAAGGAGGCCTACATTATGACCCCTTTTAATTTTATTTAACACTTTGTGTATGTACTATGCACATGTATACATACATAAATATATATATGTGTGTGTATAGATATATAAATAGATCTATATATAGAATGTTCTGTACTATAACTATATACAAATTCAGGTACATATATCTGTATATATTTTATATGCAGATATTTTTATATTAACCCAATGAGGGGAACCATGCTTGGAAATTACTTCCTTGGCCATTAGTTCAAAGTTCAGTTGATATTAGAAATTTAAATGTAAAATTCTGCATGTGTCAAAATTTTTTAATTACACCCTTGCCAAACAATCCAGCTGGCATTATGCCACATTAGAGGAGGAGGAAAAGAAACTGAAACCAGAAAATTAACTCTATCAAAGCAAAATTTATTGTGAAAATGGATACTATTAACATGCTTCATACTGACAGGAAATCAACTCCTGACTTAAACAGTGTTTAGTATTTTGCAAGGGATGGGGCAGGGTGGAGAGCACATGTCATAGCATATGCCTAAGTTCACTTGTCATGGCTTATGTCAATAAAGGTGGTCAGTTGTGGCAAAGGAAATGCCCTTCACTTGAATCTCTTAGTATATAATTGAGCAGTCCATTTGTATTTGTATAAAATACATTCTTGTGCATATTCATTTCAACAAAAGAGTCCCTTGAGTCTGCCTAATTGGCTAGTTTTCAGAATCAGTAGTTTTAAATAGTAAATCAGGTTTGCAATTTGATCTCTAGAGTTTTCACCCTTTGGTAAGAACAAATATAAGAAATACTAGCCTTTCTACCTTGAGTCAGTCTTGGGGACTTGGCCAGTTTTGATGTAAGGTCCATTCTTTAATGTTTACATTTTGTCTGCACATGTTTTTTCCATAGCCTGGTATGGTTAGCATGGTTAACCAATGTTCTGTAGCACTATCCAAGTCAGGACACTGAAGTGCATCTCCCATCCCCAAAAGGCATGCTTTTTCCTTTGAAATTGTGTCCATGCCCTTTACGTATTGATTTTATAATGTGCTTCAACATTAAATGGCTATGTCAAATGTATCTGAGGAAGTATTTTTTCTTATAATAGCACTAGAACATAGTTTATGTTTACTTACGATAATTTTAATAAACCATATAAAAGCAGGTACCCTCTAGTAACTTGTATAATGGGTTTTATATTATAGGTTCATTCGCTCCACAAACACCAATACCATTCTGCTCTTCTGTAGCACACATGAAATAATCTGTAGTGATTCACTTAACTATTAAAGTATTTGAATAACTTGCCCAAGTTTATACAACAAACAAGTGACAAACCTTGGCTATTTGACTCTAAAGCGAATAGATTTAACTACTAAAATATACTGCAAATTTAGATGTGCTTTCCTCTTTGCTCTTATTTTTTATATATATAATTCTGCCAGATAATAAGCATGATTATATTCATGTTTGCATTTTATATGTCTGTATGTATATATATTTGATTATATATATTATGTACATATATGATCATGTTTATTAATTGATATTATATATGTATATATAGTCATACTTATTTGTTAGTTGCTTAATTATCTTAAATGTAGACAAGCTCATTGAGGCATTGAAACTGTGTCTTCTGACATTTGTATCCCAGGACCTGGCACAGTGCACACACAAAGTTGATGCCAACTAAGTATTGGTTGAATGAGAAATTTAAGTATGACTAACAAATTAAGGAAGAATTACATAAGATCAAATAAAGAAGGAGGATGTTCAAATGAGGTCAATAAAGATGAAGACTGAAGAAAAGCCATTGGATTTCTTTTATTTATTTATTTTTTATTAACATATTATTGATATACACTCTTATGAAGGTTTCACATGAAAAAACAATGTGGTTACTACAGTTACCCATATTATGAAGTCCCCACCCATACCCCAATGCAGTCACTGTCCATCAGTGTAGTAAGATGCCACTGAGTCACTGTTTGCCTTCTCTGTGCTACACCATTTTCCCCGTGACCCCCCACACCATGTGTACTGAACATAATACCCCTTAATCCCCTTCTCCCTCCCTCCCCACCCACCCTCCTACACCCCTCCCCTTTGGTAACCACTAGTTCCTTCTTGGAGTCTTTGAGTCTACTGCTATTTGGCTCCTTCAGTTTTGCTTCATTGTTATACTCCACAATGAGGGAAATCATTTGACACTTGTCTTTCTCTACCTGGCTTATTTCACTGAGCATAATATCCTCCAGCTCCATCCATGTTGTTGCAAATGGTAGGATTTGTTTCTTTCTTATGGCTGAATAGTATTCCATTGTGTATATGTACCACATCTTTATCTGTTCATCTGCTGATGGTTGCTTCCATTCCTTGGCTATTGTAAATAGTGCTGCAATAAACATAGGGGTGCATATATCTTTTTGAATCTGAGAAGGTGTATTCTTTGGGTAAATTCCAAGGGGTGGGATTCCCAGGTCAAATGGTATTTATATTTTTAGTTTTTTGAGGAACCATCATATTGCTTTCCACAGTGGTTGAAATAGCTTACATTCCTACCAGCAGTGTAGGAGGGTTCCCCTCTCCCTTCATCTTTGCCAGCATTTGTTGTTCTTAGTCTTTTCGATGCTGGCCATCCTTACTGGTGTGAGGTAATATCTCATTGTGGTTTTAATTTGCATTTCCCTGATGATTAGAGATGTGGAGCATCTTTTCATGTCTCTGTTGGCCATCTGAATTTCTTCTTTGAAGAACTGTCTCTTCATATCCTCTGCCCATTTGCAATAATAGTGCTCCCTTTGTCTGAATCCCTTCTTCCCATCCTCATTCTGTGTCAACCACACTGCTGTTTTCTGCTGTCTTAAACACCAACTAGTTCTGGACTAGTTGTACTAGTTGTTATTTCTGCCTAGAATGTCCTCCATCAGAAATTCCATGGTCTAGAATAATACAGAATTAAGGTCTTTATCGAATCGTCACTCAACTCCTCTGTTCAGGAGGTTATCCCTGACCATCCTATTTAAAATTGCAAGACTGTTACCTACTCCATATTCCCTCTACCCAACTTCTATTTTTGCTTCCTTTATAGTATATATTACTTTCTCAAATCCTGTATTTTACATGTTTATATCATTATTGTATGAATTTCACATTANTATGGGTTTGTTCTTGTGCCACTACCAAATTGTCTTGATTACTGTAAAGTCACTGGATTTCATAACTAGGATTTCTACAGTTTCTGAATTTGATTAAGCTATCATTACTATTGGGGGTTGAGGCTAGATGGCAAGGAGATAAGGACTGAGTAATCTCTTGAATGGGAATTATCATAAAGGATATGGCAGAGGGATGATGAATAGATGATAAAGAAATCTAAGTAGTGAATATAGGATGCTGGTGAAAGGAAGGAGAACACTGGTTTCAGAAGATGAAGAGTTAAAAGAATTTGTTTTCTCCAAACTGGGAAGACCTCACCAGGGTAGTGGTCTAGAGTAGGAGCTTTGAAATCAGATAGACCAAAATTCCAATTCTGGCTCACTAGCTATGTGGCTTCCAGTGAACTACTTAACCTCCTTAAGCATCATCTGCAAAATAAGGAAAGTCATAGTACTAACTTATTGTAGGTTGCTATGAAGATTAAATGATATATATATGTAGTCCTTAACTTGATATACATAGAAAATTCTCAGTAACTTTGATAATTAGCAATTATCAAAGATTTTGTATGCAAAACCACAGTCAAATTTATCTATCTTTTTCTTTGTTTGGTGCTTTCTGTATCTTGTTTAAGAAGTTATTTCCTAGCTCAAGATCATATTCTCTGATACTATCTTCTAAAAGCCTTATTGTTTTGCCTTTTTCAGATCCAAGGTATATGCAATTATATTTAAAAGGTCTAATTTCTCAATTAAAAGACAGATTGGAAAATTAGAATGGAAAGATAAAACCTTGATATGTGTTTTTAATATAAGCACACAGAAAATTTGAATATAAAAGGATGTGTTTAATTATTTCTTACATTGTTTTTATCACTGATGTCACTCTTTTAAAAAGGTCATTTTCACTCTACCATAAATAAGGTGACCTATTCCTCTATTTACAGTTTTATTTTTTATCAACCTTATTGAGATAACTAACATACCATACAATTTACCTTTTAAAGTTTTAGTATACAATGGCTTTTAGTATGTGATATCATCAGACATGTGCAGTCATCACCACAGTCAATTTTAGAACATTTCTATTACCTCGAAGAGATACCTTGTACCACTTAGCTGTAACCCCAAGTCTCTCATTCCCCTAACTCCAAGCAACTACTACTCTGCTTTGTTTCTACAGATTTGCCTATTCTGGCTATTTCATATAAAAGGAATTATATAATATGACTGGCTTCTTTTACTTAGCATAATGTTTGTCAGGGTTATCCTGTTGTAGTATGTATTAGTACTTCATTCATTTTTATGACTAAATAATATTCTGTTGTATAGATATACCACATTTTATTTTTCCATTCATCAGCTGATGGAAGTTTGGGTTATTTCCATCTTCTGCCTTATAAACATTTGTATACATGTTTTTGAACATGTTTTCATTTCTCTTGGGTAAATACAAAGGAGTGGAATTGCTGGATGATACAGTATTTAATTGAGGAACTGCCAGATCCTAATTCCCAGCAGCAGTGTGTAAGAATTTCAGTTTCTCTATACCTTGCCAACCTGTGGTTGTGAAGTGGAATCTCATTGTGGTATTGGTTTGCATTTCCCTGATAATTAATGATGATGAACGTCTTTTCATGTGCAGAGAGTGCTGCTTTAAATTCTGTGCCCTAGGGATCTCGTTTGCCTCACCCTTAGTCCTGGCTAGCCCTGGGTGAGATCAAAACTATCATGTAACAACACTAGAAGAGTTTGTCTTTTCACTTTCATTTGCTGAAATGTACAGGGATGATTTCCAGAGACAGGGTGATTTCAAACCAGATAATGCAGATACGGATATGCCAACCTAGCTCTCCTCTGTTAAGCTAGACATTACAGAGACTTGCAAAACTGTAAAAGAGTGCCACTCTCAGTATAACACAGAGAAGACAAGTAGTGACTCTATAGCATCTTACTAGCTGATGGACAGTGACTGTAATGGGGTATGTGGGGGGAGCTTGACAATAGGGGGAGTCTAGTAACCGTAATGTTGTTCATGTAATTGTACATTAATGATAGCAAAATAAAAATAAAAAATAAAAAAATAACAACACAAAAAACAGTGCCATTCTTCTTACTAACTGTTTTGGTAAATACAGTTTTTTAAAATGAAAAATGTTATTTATGTTAACACATAGTGAGCATATTTTTTATATTACATGTATGTAATATTATATTTCTATGTGTTAACATTTAGTGAGTGTAATATGTAGTGGGTTATTATTTTTGGTTAATTGAATACTTAAAAATTTCTTTTTTAATTTCTAATAGAATAAATATTGATGGCTATAATCCACATAAACAAAAGCTCTTTGGGATCCTTAATAATTTTTAAGATTATAAAAGGGATCTTGTGATCAAAAGCTTGAAAAATGCTGATCTAGCCTTATATTAAAATACTTTGGAATGGCTGCTGTGGACAAGTAAAAAGATTAAAAGGATTTCTGAGAAGACATGCACTCACATATGTGATCAGGTAGAACAAGTTTGTGGTGTTTAGTGAGAACAAACAGGAATTTAATTATTCCATCCAGAAAAGTGTGGCTACCCACTGAAGGAAGTAGAAATAGAGGAGCGGAGGATCACTCAAAAGTTTAGATTGACAATGTAAGAAGAGCAGATAGCTGAGGAAGTGGGTGAGTCAAGGTGTCAGTGAAGACACTGGAAATGGCTGACCATTTGTTCTATGTGGAGTGAAGGGTATGCAGGCGAATGCAGAAGAAATCTGGTAGGTCTAATAAATACTAAAATAGAGAGCACGAGGTATTTTAATTGTGTTATGTAAATAAAGGTCAATTCAGAGGGAAGGAGGCACTGTGAGAATTCAGGATATAGGTGGAATCATCAGATTGAAGAATCAACCTCAGTTTTAAATGTCTAGCTCCTTTATCACCTTTGGCCTTGAAAGAAAAGACTAACTATGGGAGTCTTCAGGCTTGGGTATATAGTTTCAAACTTGCTGCTTAGTGTAAGGTTGCCGTCACTTAATTTTTATAAACCTCAATGTTTTCATCTGTAAAATGAGGATAATAACATTGACTATTTCTTAGCATTTAGAGGAACAAATGAAATAGCATGTTAAATTCTTTGTAAACAAAAACATTGTGCAAATATGTGGCATAAGAACTACACATACTTGTCAATTTCATAGGCCTTTCCTTTTTCTATTTCAGGCAGAACTCAACAGCTTGATGGACAACGCTTCGTCTTCCTTTGAATTTGCTAAAGAACTCATCAGGCACAATCTGGTGAATAATAGTTTCCCATCTTGACTTGAGTCCTACATTATTAGGTACATCACAGCAGTTAGAAAGATGAGTGAATGGAGATATCTCAACAAATATTTCTCTACTCCTAATGAGCTCCTCCTTGCTGCAGAGGAAAGAAAATGAGTTTAAGATATCAGGTCTTTTCTTCAAGGAAATCCTTACTGGTACTGCATACATAACATTTAGAAAGAGTTGCAGTATAGATCCAAGTGTTTGTTTTGTTGGCAAAGACAAAGGAACATATCCTTGTGGGTTAGAATAAATGGAAAGGATTTTCTCGTTAAAGTAAAACTTGAGCTCTTACTTGAAGGATGACTTCGCATTAAGAGGGTTCATTCAAGATAAGGACGTGGAATTATAATGAGGATGACGTGTGAAAGACTGAGCAGACTGTACTTACTGGAACAGAAGGTTTTCACTGGGGCACAGTGAAACATAGTTCAGTAAAAAAGTAAAGGGATGGTTAGTTTTAGGACTGGATTATGATAGTCATTGCTAAAAAAATCCAGATTCAGACTGTACAGTATATGCAGAGCACCTACTTTCGACTCAGAGAGCTGGGGACATCGGGCAGATTTATTTATAATATTGCTGAGTTTCAGATGTCTCATCTAAAATAAACAATTACATCCTTTCCTTCTGATTTCTGTATTATTTAGCACCAGTGCTCTCAGTACACATGCTAGAAACCATTGCTGTTCTAGACTCACTCCTCCCTTATCTCTGTTATCTACCCATTCACTCAATCCTATGCATTCATTCTTGATGTAATGTCTCCTATTTATTCCATTCCTCTTTACTTCAGGCCTCCAGCACAGATACAGTTTTCTTTGGATAGTTTTTATTATGAACGTCTGCCTCTTATCTCTTCACTTCTAATCTAGTTTACAAATTAAAGCCCAGTTAATTTTTGTGGAGAATAATGTGTTAGATGTTAGATAGTAGTCTGGAAATTAAGCTGGGAGAAAGACCAAGACTGGAGAATAGGTTTAGGCATTTTTGTAAGAGAAGCAATTGCTGAAGTCCTGACAAGTAAATATAGAAGCAAGGATTAAAAACTGGAAAATATGGTTCCAGGAGAACATCTGTAGTTTAAGGGGGTGCAGAAAGGAGAATAAGCAAGTAAGACAAGAAAGCACAGCCAAGAAAAAGCACCCAGAAATGTCATTTACAACCGCTCATATTAATCACCTGGGAGGTTTTTTAAAATAATGATACATGGTTTTCCCCCATCAGAGAGTCTTATTTAGTGGTTCGGCTAGTGTTCAGTTTACAGCATTTTTCTTAAAAGCTTCTCAGGTGAGTATTATATAAAGCCAAAGTAAAGAACCACTATTATGTATATATGACTGGAAGGAGCATATCACCTAGTCAATAGGGATTATTCTTAGAGAGTGGGATTAAAGAGAGGTGAAAATACAGAAATTTTCCTTTTTTCTTTTGTAGTGCTATATGTAAGTTTCTCCAATGCGCACATATTATTTTTATACTTTAAAACAAAACCTGAAAAATACTGAGCAATATAAATAGTTGCTATGAGCACCTACTTTTGCTATCAAACTTGAGGTAAAAATCAAGCTACATCATATACTAGCTTTGTAACTTCAGGTAAATCACTTAACTTTGCTGGATCTTAGTGTTATTATATATAGAGTAGGGGAAATACAACACCTACCTTATTTTCTTGTGAGGATTAAATGAGGTAATGTGTGTAAGATTATTTGCACAGTATCTAGCATGTAATATTCAGTAAATAGTGTTGTTATCATGCTGTGGTCATCAATGTCAAAACTGCAAACACATCACAGACCAGGAGGAGGACAGAAATGTCCTTTGAATTTGGGTAAGGGGTCAATTTGTGATTTGTAAGAGTAAAATTACTAGTCTGCGGAGAGCAGAAGCCAGTTTTCTGGAAGGTCAAAGCATAAGAGGATGAGAAGAAAGTTGAAACAGTAAAGCCCCACATACTTTTGAAGTGCAGCATTGAACGAAGGAGAGAAATAGGGCAGTATCAGAAGGAACAATGGTAGGAAGTGGAAGATTCTTCAAGAGAACAACAACCCGTATGTGTTTGAAGTTGAGAAGTAGGACCAGGATTAATGAAGACAACAGTTAATTGAAGGAGAAACAAAATCCAAGTGGAGTTTGAAGTCATGTGATCAAGAAGGTAGGGAATTAATCTTGGGGGAAAGGAAACATCTCAGAAAAGGGGGAACAAAAAAAAAAGATGACCAAATGGATATTTTGAGGTACAAAAAAGGTATTAGGTAGTTCATGCCTGATGGCCTTGATTTCTATTTATTTGTGAAAAGCTTGCTATGTGCCAGATTCTGTCCTAGACCTGGGAACGCAAGGGTATGCCACAGTGCCCTTTCATGGATGGTGTTTTGTTTTAGCTATTCTCTGTAGCATTTATTGTTATATGACAACATACTTACATGTTTGCTGTTGGAAGGTCTCTTCCCAGTTGAATAGAGTGATAGGGGAGTGACTTGTTCCTGTGTAACCCCAGTGCATATTAAAATACCAGACATGTTCAGTAGTAGAAACTAGGGAATATTTACTGAATTAATTAAATGAAATATTACGTACTATGTGCCACACGTTTGGCCTACTTTAGCTCATTTGATCTTCACACTAACCCTGAAAGGTATACACTACTAAGATGAGGAAACATGTTCAGAAATGTTACATAAATTCCTTAAGTTTTTGATGTAGAATATTGTCTAACAGTTTCATTAATTATTGGGTACTTTGCAAGTTTTCTGCAGTTATTATGAAGAGAAAAGGAAATGTATGCAGTAGGGTTATGCCTTTATTCTGTTTCTTGTAATTTAGATAATGGCTTTCTTTCAGTGAGGTCAAGGTCATGTATATATAGACAGCTTCAAAAATATATTCATTCTTTCAAAAAATAACTGAGTACCCAGTTTTAAGTGGCAGCTCCTTAAACATTTCCACCAATAAATATATTCATACTTACTGCCATAGCAACAGAGTTTCTCTGTCTTTAGGTTGTTTTCCGAGGAGGTGAAGGGGCTTTGCAGGTTTTGCCTCCCCTGGTTGATGTCATTCCTGAAGCTCGGCTAAACTTAGTGATTTACTACCTTCGTCAAGGTAAGAAAAATTTGTCTTGGTTTTACTTATAATGAGTTATTTCAGAACATTTAATGTTGAACTACTAGTCTACTTGAGTAGTAGTTGAACTACTATGCTAGTTGAACTACTTGCTTAACTTTTAAAATCCATAATACTTTCAAAAATGTATTTGCAACGGGTTCACAGGAGAGACAAATTTATTGGTGCTTATTTTATTGAACTTTTTCTCTTTATCCTCTCTTTCCTCTTTTGCTTCCAACTTTGTCCCTCATTCTGTTTTTCTTTCTTTTTATTTTTTATCCTTTGATTTCTACCTATTCTATTTCAGTTTTCCCATTGTCCTTTGTTCCCATCCCTTGTAGTTCTTTCTCTTTCTAGTGTTCCCCTAAGTAAAACACACATCTACATTTTCTTGGGTCTTTTTTTTATCATTAATTGTTATTTATTTGCTCTGTGTGCCTTTCTGTTTGTTTGTACCCTGCTTCTTATGAGAAATATTATGATTCAAAGAGAATGTGATATTTATTGCCATAAAAGGTTAAAATTGTTAGACACATGCCTAAAGCAGTCTTGAACAGTTTATGAGTACAGGATAGTAGTCACCTTGCATTGGTGGTGGGGTTCTATCACGGACCTTGGACTAACAGTGTGGGCCTTTTTAGGTGCATGATAGGAAAAAACCAGACAACATAATCCTCATAAGGAAAATGTGTTTATTAAAATAAGAACATGAACTTGTAAACAGGTCTATTTGATATATAGCCACAAAGAAATATGCTTTTAGATAAGAATTAATGGAACATCTTACATGTTTTATGAATTTTTCATTATAAAATTTTTCAAATATGAACAATGTATTATGAATATCCAAAAAGAACACCCAAATTTTCATCTCAGCTTCAAAAGCCTTTAAGATATTTCCAATATTCTTTTCATCTATTCCTCCTTCTTCCTTTTTGGTTTCTGAAATGTTTTAAAGCAAATCCCAGACTTCATATTATTTCATTCCTATATACTTTATATAATCTCTTTTTAAAAAATGGTTGTTTTTCTTAAATAATTACAATGCCATTGGTATATACCCAGTCCATGTTCCTAGCCTGAATATTTTTGCAGGTGCTTCATGGCTTACTATGGGTTCCGTAAGGATATTTGGTTATCTTTAGGATAACTATTAAACACTGAACTTGATGGGAAGTTAGAGGACAGATAAAACAAGCCATACTTCTCATGAGTGTCTGAGTACTAAAGGATCTTACCTTTTTGGACACTGCTTCAGAAGAGTTTGCTGAAATACAGACTAGTAGAGCTATTTATTTCTTATATTTCAGATGATGTACAAGAAGCTTATAACTTAATTAAGGATCTGGAACCTACCACTCCTCAGGTAATTGAGAACCTGTTACTTTTTACTAACCAAGTTCTGTCAGAAATGGAATTTCAGAAAGGTAGCTGGAAGGCAAAATAGAGAAGATTCCTGCTAGTAGATTCTCAGAGAAGACTGTATATATTGATCTAGGAATGTTACATGACACTTCTGATATGAGAATAAATATTCTGGGGTTTTTGCCATTTTAAAACTTCCTTATATATGGTTATTTCCTGAAAAGGGTTACAATTTGAAAATATTGAAATCTAGAATTCTGATGAAACTAGCAATAGGGTATAGAAATTTATCGCACTAGTATAATTGTCTATAACTTGTCATTCTCCCCCCTAGATTGTTAGCTCCTTGCAGTCTGGGACTGTGTCTCTATTGTATCTTCAATGCTATTTACACTAAGCACATTGTAGGCATTCCACTTACTGAATGAAAGACTAACTGAAAAGTGTTTCCAGACCTCATGAAATCTAAAACAGGTATATTTCTTCAGTGCTTTAAAAGCTCTGGCATCTTTTGTACGGTTCTTTTTATGAGTCTTCTTAAATAAAAATAGCACCCACAGAAAATTGATAAAGCTAGTAAGGAGGGTATCTATTAAAGAACAGAACCAAATCTGAAGGAGATACAGGGGAGGCTCCAGGGCTCCAAAAGAGAAAATACCTTACAAATGGAAATCAGAGGATTTTTTTTTTTTTGAGAAAAAAGGATTACTAGCCAAAGAAGATTATATCGCACCATTGTAAAGGAAAACAATGTATGTATTGTTACAAAAATGGCAGTGGCTGATGAGGTGATAAAAATTATTACATAAACATTTTATTGTCAGGTTTTTACATTGAATTGAAATAAAACTTGACTCCTTGAAATTTCTGCTGAGTTTTTTGGTTTTAGATTGAGAATTGACAAATATGGTGAATACTGTCCTATGGACACTTTCCTGGAAACCAATTGAAAGTCTCCTAATTCTTTCACGCCAGGGATAGAACAGAGAAAAGTGATTCTGTTATTCTCTTATCCTTTGATAATATACATAAAGTATTAAGTTGAAATTAATTTGAGAGATAACTCATAGTTCCAGATGCCTGTTAAATTAATTAGTGTTATTCCATGTTTTCAGGAGTATATCCTCAAAGGAGTGGTCAATGCAGCCCTTGGTCAGGAAATGGGTTCGGTGAGTATGTAATCACTGGTGATCTATAGATTGGAAGCTGATAGTGTGTAAAAAAGACCAAAATGAATATCAAAGTTCAGTCAGCTATAAGCTTACAAATAGACTCTTCTGCAGTTCCTTTCATTTCTCCATATCCTCCAATCCAGATTCTATTGTAAAAATAATTCGGTGTTAAAGACAAAAAAAGAAAGCTTTAACTTTTTAAAAGAGTGTTTCTATCTAATAACAACAAATCATTCCAGCTTTATTCTTATTTTCAATGACTTTTTCTTTAACCTTGCTTACCACTGAGTAATAATTTTGGCATGTGTAAAATGAGATAATTGTTCTCTGGGAAAGCTTTTCTTAAACAGTAAGATACTACTTAAAATTGAGCTCTTATTTATCTGAATATAGCATATTAAGTTCTTTTTGGAACAAAGGGGGATATGAGTAAATCTTTTTATCTCCAGCTCACTCCACAATGCCTCATGTAGTAGATAGGAATTAGTAATTGAATGAATGAATGAGTTTACTTAATAAATACTGCTTGTTATAACCATAGTTCCTATTAAAGATCGGATGTATGATAAAAGAATAATACAAGTTTATTGAATGAATGAATGAGTCAATTTAATGAAGGTCCTTTTAGGATAGGAGTTGGGGATTGGATTTTTTTTCTTTTCTGTCTGACCCTGAGTAGGTTTTAATTCAGTTTCATGTTATCATATCATATATGTTTTTCAGAGGGATCATATGAAAATTGCCCAGCAGTTCTTCCAGTTGGTGGGAGGATCAGCTAGTGAATGCGGTATGTCTGAAATCTACTCCTGAGCACGATTTGTAATTGGAATTGGTCCTATACTGACTGTTGAAGTTTGATTCTCTGTCCAGGGATACATCTGTTAGGCTTTCCTAACAGATGTATAAAGTAGGAAGTCATACACAGGATAGAATATTGGATTAACTCTTCTCAACATCTTAGCTGAAGTGGGATGAGAGAATATATAAATACAGGGGAATAAATGTATTCCTTAGCCTATGACATTTACAAATGTGATTGTTTTTTATTTGAAATGTTAACTTTTACTGATTTTTCAAGTGCTCTTTATATATTTAAGCTTTTGTCATGTTGAAAATATTCTTGCTGGTGGGTCATTTGCCTTTTACCTTTGCCTATGGTATTTTTTCCCATGTAAAGATATTCAAATCTTATTTAATTGTTTATCTTTTCTATAATGATTTCTTATATAAATATCAAGCTTACAAAGTGTCCTTTTACCCCTGTAGCTATATAATATTCACCTATATTTACCACCAGTAGTTTTTTTATTAAAGTATCATTGATATACAATCTTATGATGGTTTCACATAAACAACACAGTGGTTTCAACATTCACCCATATTGTCAAGTCCTCACCCCCTCAATTGCAGTCCCTGTCCAACAACACAGTAAGATGTTATAGAGTCATTAATTGTCTTCTCTGTGCTGTACTGCCTTCCCTGTGACATACCTGTATTGTGATTGTGAATTACAGTACCACCAGTAGTTTTGTGGCTTCATTTTTATTATTAAAGTCTTGATTTCATAATCAAGATTCAGTAAGATTTGAGAAAGGGCTGGTAGCTAGAATGAACTAATATGGCTGTCTGTACCAGATGTCTATGGCCCGCATCTATTATGGTGAGCAGTATTCATGATGAATTAGTTGTGAAATATTTTTATCACCCCTGGATATTCACTTTCTTTCAAATGTTTCACCAAAACCATCTACTGAATAATAATTCCTTTCCCCATTTCATTCATTCATATAACAAAAAAGTATTGCTCTATTGGGGATATAGCAGTAAACAAAAGAAACAAGTCTTCCTACTCTTATGCAGCATACAGTCTAGTGGGACAGACTATAAATATAATAAATAAATAGATTACATAGTATATCTGACTGTGGTAAGTACTAAGGGGAAAAAAAAGTTTGAACAGACTAATGAAGATTGGGAGTGGTGAAAGTAGGGGATTGTACTAATCCTCTGCTACTTCAAATAGGAATCTGATATCAAACCAAAACTTGGTCAGCATCAGGATCAGATTGTTCCATGGCAAATTATTTCTCTATTTGAGATTGTCTTAGATGAGTGACGATGGAGAGATTAAGCCATGTTAGCTGAGTGTGCAGGTGCTGGAGTTGGGTGAGAGAATCAAGCCCTAGAAGAAGATCTGGAGAATACAGCAGCCTCCAGGGCATGTGTTCATTTTGAATGCAGTTAACCCCAAGAGATACTATTGGTTACTCTCAAGTATTGAGAGTATGCTCCATTATGCTGAGGTTTTGTCCACTGAACAGAATTACTAATTTCAAAATCTAGAATGATGTCTTGGAATAAATTCCTAACTCTAAAGTATAAAATTACTCAAATTTCAGCTAAAGAGAACTTTCAGTTTCATGAATACACCTGGTTTCTTTCCATTTCAGATACAATACCAGGGAGGCAGTGCATGGCTTCCTGCTTCTTCCTGCTTAAGCAATTTGATGATGTCTTGATTTACCTCAACTCATTTAAGGTCAGTGTAGAATTTTCTAGATGACTTTGTATACAAACTACTATATAGAATGTGTTAAAGGTACTCATAAAAGATGGCCCTTTTACTATGGGGGCATTAGTAGTGTCAGCTACGATTATATGGCATAACTGATATTTTTATATCTTATTTGTTAAGAATATTCTATATGGCTTTTTGGGGGGATGTTTTTCAGAGTTACTTCTATAATGATGACATCTTTAAGTTTAATTATGCCCAAGCCAAAGCTGCAACAGGCAATACCAAAGAGGGTGAAGAGGTGGGTACCTGCTTTTGAAGGTATTTGAGTGATTTTAAAAACATGATTATATTTTTCACACTGAAATAAATGTTCAAAGGTAAAGAGTATTAAAAGTTCTTTTGTTCTTAGAATACATTAAAAGTACCACATGAATAGACATAGATTTTATAACCACATTAATGTTTTCCTTTTCCTTGATAAATTTTATAAAAGTACATATGAAGAAAAGTGTAAAAATCTAAGTATACAGCTTGATGAATTTTAAAGTGAACATACCCAAATAATCAGTACCCAGATCATGTAACAGAAAACCCCTCATCTCCTTTTTCAGTCAATCTCTTTCCCCCAAGGCTAACCACTATCTTGACTTGTAACTCTATAGGTTGATTTGTCTGAATTATTCAAAATAATTCAGTTGAATTATTCAATTCAATTTGTTATTCAACATTATTTTTCAAATTCTAAGCATTTTCTGATTTCCATTATGATACCTTCTTTGGGAGTTATTTTAAAACATGTTTTTAAGTATATGTATTATCAAATGTATTTTCAAACTATTTCCAAATATATGTGTTATTCTTTCTAGGTCATTTTATTTTGATTTCTAACTTAATTGTATTATGGTCATAGAATATAGTCTGTATAACACCAGTCCTTTAAAATTTGCCAAGACTTCCTTTATTGCCCAGTAGCATGGTCATGTGTTCTTGAAAAGAGTATGTATTGTGCAGTTGTTAATTATTCTGTTCCAATCTTCTATATCCTTTCAGCCTTTTGTCAGTTTTTGTTATCAATAACTGAGAGAAGTTTGTTAAAATCATC